AAATTTCAACTTTAATTACTTTTATCTTATTTAAAATCTCACTTTTTAAACTTTTCTTTTTTATTTTTCCACTTATTTTACTTTTCGTTAAAATAAATCCACTTTCTTTTACTTTTCTTTTAAAAATTCTAATTTCTTTTACTGTTGTTTTTTTAAATTTTCAGCCTTCTTTACTTTTATTTTTTAATTGCAACTTTCTTTTACTTTTTATTTTTTAAATTTCCGCAAAACTTTGCTTTTATTTTTTTTTAATTTTCCACTTTTTTTTTACTTTTTTAAAATGAGAATTTCAACTACTTTTACTTTTATTTTTTTTAATTCCCTACTTCCCTTTTTCTTATTTTTTTAATCTCTCCCAAAATAAAACAAAATCCGTAAATATTAATTAATTTTTTTTATTTCGGGGGAGATTGAAAAAATAAGAAAAAGGGAAGCAGGGAATTAAGAAAAATAAAATTAAAAGTAGGTGGAATTCTCTTTTGAAAAAGTAAAAAAAAAAGTGGAAAAAAATAAAAGTAAAGTTTTCTGGAAATTTAAAAAATAAAAAATAAAAGAAAGTTGGAATTAAAAAATAAAAGTAAAGATGGCTGAAAATTATAAAAAAACAAAAGTAAAAGAAACTAGAAATTTTAAAAGAAAAGTTAAAGAAAGTGGATTTATTTTTAAGAAAAGTAAAATAAGTGGAAAAAGAAAAAAAGAAAAGTAAAAGAGAGGGATTTTTAATAAGATAAAAGTAATTAAAGTTGGAAATTTAAAAAATAAAAGTAAAGAAAGGTGGGAATTTATTTTATTTTTAAAAAAAAGAAAAGCAAATTTTAAGTGAGATTTCTTTTAATTAAAAAAAATAATAAAATAATAAAATATTTTTTAGAAACAAAACCTGAAAAATTTTGAATTTTATTTTTTGCTATAAATAGAAGAGAAAATTTGAGATGAAAGAGATGAGAAAGGAGAGAAAAAATAGAGAGGAAATTGAGAGAAAACAAATTTTCTTTTTCTATGCTAAAGAGAATTTGTACTAGTTTCATTCTTTCTTTCTATTTCTTTCAAAAAAAAAATAGAAATTCATTACCTTGTTTAAGACCAAAAAGAAACCAAAAATTAGCTCTTTAAACACCTCAAAATTAGCTCCAAAATAACCATGAGATTTTGTGGCATGAACCCCTTTTCCTTTGGGTTTTAGTTGCAGTCGAGTAACGAAATTTAATCTGTCAAGGTTACCAGTTCAAAGATCAGTCAATAGCTTGTTGTGATCAACTCTATTTGGATTTTTACATTTTAAAAATATTGAGCAAAGGTATGTTCTAAACTTTGTCATTTTTGTGTACATGAATAAATTCACACTTCTTTAATGAATATTATTCTATTAAAATTGTGTTTTTCAAGTTATATGTTAAGTTGTATTATCTTTGAATATTTTCATGTTATCCTACTTAGTAATTGATTTTGAAGCTATATATATATATATATATATATATATTGTAGCTATATTTAAAAAAATTTGTGTTAATTTGGTGGGGACATTTTTTTGGTAGGGTTACGAGTTTATTTGTGTTTTAGATCTTATATGATTCATGAAGTTTATTTTTTATTTATACTATTGCTTGTGTTTTTCACATATTTATTATCTTAAATTTATAATATTAGATTGGTCAAAGATAGAAAGATTTAGGGGTTGAATATGTATTTTTTTTTCAAAAAATCATATGTTAAATTAGTTGAATAATTCAATAATTGTCATCTACCACATGCTTTTTTTTAATAACTTTAATAATTAAACCACATTATTTCATTACAATTATTTCTTACCTATAACTTTGGTCTCTTGATAATCTCAAATTTAGTAAGAATAATTACAAATGCGCTAGTCGCTTTAGGTGCGATTAATAATAATTATCGTGACTATGAGTATAGTTCCCGTGGCATAGTCGTGATACATAATCCCGAATTCGAATGTGCGTTTCACGTGAATCGACCATAACTTCAAATAATGATTAAAAAAAACATGTTGTAAATCGCGGGTGCGTTTCACGTGACGCAGTTTGTAATGTGTACCGAAAGGACAAGTGTACAACTTAAGAAATAATTCTATAAATCCTTAAAGCAATAATTAATTAAAAACGGTTTAAAAAGTTTAAAAATGCACAATAGGCTTTAAACACGTAATAAATCAGATAATTAGGCCAATTAATAATAGTTTAAGCGACCGTGCTAGAACCACGAAATCCGGGAATGCCTAACACCTTCTCCAGGGTTAACATAATTCCTTATCTAGAATTTCTGGTTCGCAGACTTTTAAAAAATAAAGTCGAAATTTCCTCGATTTGGGATTGTAAAATAAACCGTTGACTTGGGACACCAAATAAACTAAATCAAGTGGCGACTCTGAAAAATAAATAAAATAATCTCATTTCGGTTTGTGTTACTTTAATTGGAAAAACTCCCTTATATCCCCCTCGGGTGGTAAAAAAGAAGGTGTGACATTCACAATATTTAATTCTTTTTAGATATTAAGGAATTAACTTCTTCTTTCCAAAGTTGTCATTAGAATAAAATGTCTAGGTGTAGTTTGTTATATTTTTAATGAGAAAATTAAGGTTAATATGATCAATTTTATTATTTTTTTTGGTAATTAACTTTCTTTTGTATTAATCACCAAAGTGAAATTGTACAAAACCATAGCCAAGCTAACTCAGCTAACTTTCTCAAAGCTGAAAAAACAAACAAAGCATACCTATTTACAAATAAAACTAATGGATCTACTCTGTTCCTAGCCAAAAATGTTGTATGTAACTCTTAGCTCGAGTAGCTACTCTAACATTGCATATGCATGAATCAATTTTATTGTTAGTTAATGTTAAAAGGTGAATTTCTTAATATGTACGAATAGAGCCAAAAAATCACTTAAAGTGGACTCTTAAAAGTAAGTGGTTGCGGGTATCAATTTAAATGTAGAACCCCTAAAACGTTATCACTTATCAAATACTCCCTCCCTTTGGTCCATTTTATGTGATTTTTTTAATCTTTTTTTGTGGTCCATAATATTTAATTTTTTTAAAGATAAAAAAAGAGTTAACTTTTTTTTTCCAAAGTTGTCCTTGGAGTAAAGAGCCTAGGAGCAGTTTGTTATATTTTCAATAAGCAAATTAAGATTAATATGATCAATTTCATTGTTAGTTAATGTTAAAAGTTGTGCGAAAAAAACAAAAAAATCACTTAAAGTGGACCGGAGGGATTAAGAATTTCTTGTAGCTCTTAAAAGTAAGTGGTTGCGGGCATCAATTAAAATGTATGATTATCTCATTTAAAATTTAATTTAAAAATAAAGTATGCTTTATTTATATAATTATATATTCAGCAATAATTAAGCAACCTTATTTAGAGTGGTTTAGGATGAGGACAAGAGGTGGCTTAGCAGGAACTCGATAGTTTAATTGACACAACTAAGAGGGTGTTTGGATGTGCAAACCAGCTTTTAAGTACTTTTTTATTTTTTATCAAAAAAAAGCTGCCTAAAAAAAGTTAAAAAAATGCTTTAAAAAAGCCAAAAGCAAGAAGTTGGCTGTCCCCAACTTTTTCGATTTTGGCTCAAAAACCATTTTGGTTTGACCAATAAAATTACTCTCTCGTCCCTTATAAGTTTTTATAATACCAAAATTACCCTCCGTTAAAGAAATCCTAAAATATTGTACTCCTCCTATTTCCTTCACTCTGCCGTTCCCCTTCTTTCCTCTTCATCTTTAAGTCATCTTCATTTTTTCTGCACTTTTCTTCAAGCAATTCAGTGGAAATGGACAAAAAGAGGAAGAAAAATACAATGGATGTAACTGCATCTTTAATTTGTCGAGAGTAAATGGACAAAAAGGGAAGAGGAATTCAACAAAACCATGCCCAGTTCAACACTTTCCATGTATATATCAAGATAATTGCTCCCATCAATTTCTACTACGATATAGCTCAAAGGCTCATCCCTTTTTTCCTTAACGCCATCAACAAAAATAGGCTCATAAACTTGAATGAAAAGAATAGTGTTTATACATATTTTTGTTCTTTTAAGTTCCTGTTTTTTCCTATACAAAATAATTTGGTATTTTAAATAGGTTGAAATTTTTATGAAGTTTACTTGATTGAAAATGGTGAAAAATGAGCATTCAAGAATTATATTTATAAAAATTATCTAAAGTAATACAATTAAATTGAAATTAAATTAAAATATAAATTATTTTTTATTTGCATTAATTTATAATTAAATATATTGTAGTAATAAGCTCCTTTATAATGTTAACATCTTTAAGGATATTTTTCTTTTTAATAAGAAAAGTGCTTATCAATACTTGTTTGCCAAACACTTCAACGACTTTTTTTAAGCTTCAACACTTTTATTCAAACATTTAACTATTTATTTATAAAATAAGCTTCCGCACTTAAAAGTCGCTTGTGCTTAAAAGTCACTTTTTTTAAGCCAATCCAAACAGGCTCTAAATGACAATTGAATTGTTTCTTTCGAAATCTTGAAAAGCTAATACGAAAATCACATTCAACAGCAAGACCAAAGAAAATAAATCTTACCAATATTACAGTAAGGTATGTAGTGGGATGAATGAGATTCTGCGTCTCGCTAAAACTTAATAGTAGCAGCACAAAAATAAATTAGTTAAACCATTAAGGTTTGGTACATTAAGAAGGCGTTTGGAACATAAAAATTATAATTTTTGAAAAAAAAAGAAGAAGTATTTGAAGTTAAGTTGAAAAATAATATTTGGAATTTGAACGATGTTTAAACATATTTTTTTTGGTAGTTTTGTGAGTTGGAAATTTTTTTTTTCTGAAAATTTTAAAAAATGATCAAAACTTATTTTTTGGTTTTTAAAAATTTATTTTCGATATTTTTTCAAAAACTTACAAAGTACACTTTTGAAAAAAAAAAAGGAAAAAAATTATGGACATCTTGGACTTTTTCCTTTTTTCTTTTTGGTCCGAAATGATCTTTATTAATTTCCCAAATTAACATGAACCTCTCTCTCTCTCTCCCTCTCTTTGAAGACCCGATTTTAACCCCTATCCGACCCGTTTCTCTGCAACATCACCCGGTCTCCGTTACATGATGCCCTAGTTCTTGGGGGCATCATCATCTGTACAGTTCCTTTTGATTTCAACATTTTGGGACCATTCCATTTTGGGGCCCATTTCGTTGATTCTTCAATATCAGAAACAATAGCTGGGCGCCTCTACTACTGAAAGTCTTTGAAATTTTCCGGACCCTAATTCGTTATGCCCAATTGTTAAAGCTCCGATTTTTTGGTAAAAGAGTTGATTGGGATGAAACGGGTTCAAATGAAGCAAAGTGGGTATTGAATATTCATATAGTTGACCCGAATTAGCTTTAAATGGATCCCTCTTTGTTGATTTTAACGTTGGGTTTCTGTCTTTGTTTCCTTATTCTTGCCGTACAATCAAGTCCTCCGCCTCCTCCTCCACCGTCTCACCAATCTCCACCGCCGCCGCCGCCTTCTCCTTTATCACCACGGCCTCCTCCACCACCCCACCAAAGTCGCCGTCCTCCACCACCTCCAAAAAAGACTACCTCCGACAGTAAAAACTCTAACCACGGTAAAAACCACCACCATAAATCTAACGGGAAATTGCCTCCACCTATAGGGCAAAAAAAGTTAAATTTGGGGAAGAAATTGGGGTTAATGTTTGCGGGTGTTGCTGTGATATTGCAAGTGTGTGTGCTGGCGTTCTTGATAATCAAGAGAAGGCAGTTGTTAAAGGCTCATAGTAGTAGATTTTGAAGGGATATTTGTATATGATGTGTATATCAGCTCCCATTCTCTTTTAGTATATGATTCTCTTTTGGCGGCGGAGCATGTTAATTGCAGTTAGCCTTATTGATTCCGATTTTTAACATGGCATTAAACGGAGTAAAAGGATTAAGGATTCAGCTGAAATGTTGGTTTCTGCATTTGCATTGGTCTGCTCCTGTAAATTGGTAATTTTTTATCGGCATTCATTATCAAATTTTCTTTTTTCCCCCCAGATTTTCTCAATGTTTTTCAATTTCTGTTTTTAATATTACGTTTTTCTTTTAAATGAATGAGTAGCATGTATGACTCTTGAAGGGGAGTTGCTGCCACGTGATCGGGAGGTCACAATTCGAGTCGTGAAAACAGTCTATTGCAGAAATGCAGGGTAAGACTGTGTACAGTAGACCCTTGTGGTCCGGGGCTTTCCCGAACCCCTCGTATAGCGGGAGCTTAGTGCACCGGACTGCCATTTAGTAGCATGTATGACTCCTATGAATGATTTAGAACTCATTGAGATTCTTATATATAACATGATTTTGAAATATCTAATTTCTCTGTAATTATGCTGTTGCTTTTGATGAGCTTTTATGCAATGGGAGAGTAGGAGGATAATTGAATATTCCAGTAGTCTGAAACTGCAAACAGCTTTTGTCAAAAGTCATCTTTGATGAGTCCTTTTTTGCTGGAATATTCTGCATATGTTTGTTATGAGTGTTGGTCTCATCTTTAGCAAAAATGTACTGTACTGCTGCAAAGTTGTATCCATTATCCATGACAGTACAATGACAACAACAAACTCAGTGTAATCCCAACGCCGACCTTATCCCTACTGTAAGAAGATAGAAATGCTGTTTTCGATAGATCCTCGGCTCAAGGACCATTATACATGATAGTGAACTAGAAAAATGAAGCTTTTGCAGTGCATGCTTAGGTGGACTAGTGTACCTTTGAGAAATAGAGATCTACGTGAAGATTAGGAGAGCCTTTATTTCTAGTTGCAGGAATGTGAAAGAATCAGTTTGAAGTTATCAACTAGGATAATCTATTAGTTACTTTATATCTTTCAAACATGATTTCAAGTATCCTATACCCAGCGTAATTTAATTAAGAGATAGAAAGGATCCGAGGTGAAAATTCATGGTACAACTTGAATTAACTGTCTTTCATGTCAAAACAGTTCCACCTTTTCTAGTTTAGAAGAAACTAATAAATCGAAGTAAGGGTTAATGTAAATAGTGGAGACTTTCTTAAAACAATTACTCCTATTTAATATGATTTGTCCAACCGAGTTTTCTTGCACATATCTCGACTAATCCACCTAACAACCTTCTACATCCCAGAGAATGGGGCCTTAATGGATACCCCTTAAACCTCAATTGATGTAAAACTAATTTCTTGACAATGGGAGTTGCTTGGTTTTTCCTAGAATTAATTTGCTGTTGGCTGCTGGTAATATATGATTTGAAGTTTGTCTAACAACAAAAATATCGTAGTTACTTGTGCTTCTTGTTGTGTTTCTCTAGAAATGCTAACTCATGACTGTCGTTTTTGGTATTATAGGTCTCAAATGAAAGGATTAAGATGATATATTGCCTCCTTTGTCGATTGTTGTTGTCAATTTTAAGGAATTGGCGCGGATTTGTTTTGGAGAACATAATGTTGTCTGGTGAGAAAAGAATGCTGTAGGGAAACGAGCATACTGTTGATGGAGGCATGACCGGTCATCAACAAAGGTGAAATATGATTTCTAATGTATAGGTTAAACACCACAAAACACTTTAATTGTTGGTATAATCTAACTGTTGTACATGATATGAAAACTTAAACACGGGCAAAATGTAATCTCTATCTTAATATGCTTTAATGTGTTATAACATATAGACCTAAAAACAGATAACATGGAATGTGCAAAAACATGAATTGCTAGCTAGGACCACAAAAAAGATGTTCTCTTTAGTCTGAAAAATGTTTCTATTTGATATGATACATATTTTATATTTGGTCTGAGCATGTTTCTTTTGGGCATGATAATACCAGGACATTGTCATTTTCCCTCTTTCCTTTTGAGCATGGAGGTTAATGGGAGCATCTGATAATTTTTTTAATTTTTTTTTTTGGTAACTGTAAACGAGTTTTATATACAATTTATTCTTTACTTGGAATTATTTTACCATATGATCCAAACTTTATATTTCAACTTCAAAAAGTCAAATTCTGCCACTTAAACACATAGGTTGAACTAAGTCACATAAATTTCGTGTCGGGAAGCCTCACGTTGGGTGTTAAAGCGCTTCCTAACAAATCGATTTCATATCCAGGGAGATAGAGACTTGAACCCGAAACCTCTAATTAAGGATGAAGGAGTACTAACCACTCCACCACAATCCTATAAGATAACTTTCTTTTAAGTTAAATAACTCCATTGCTAACCCGAGCCTTCTTAAGATAACAAAGGGTCATCAACTCATTATAAAATGCAGATATCATCAATGTATCCAAGGGTGTGGACTGTCTAGTGGTATATCATCAATTGGAGGCTTATAATATTATGGAACTAAGAGAATTACAATGAAGTTATAACAATACAATTATCCAGGGCGCGCTCAATTTTAGATGTTTGCATTTATTTCCACAGCTATATGGTTAAAATTGTTCATATATGTTGATGTTATTCCCTCCGGTCCACAATAAGTGACCAATTTACCTTGGACACACGGATTAAGAAAATACTAAATTCTAGATAAAAATAATTAGTGTGACTAAATTATCCTTGATTAAATATTGCAGCGTAGTTATAGTAGCACTTACTTCTATTCTCAAATGTGAGGAGTAAATGACGTTTTAGGGATACGTACATAAATGTAATTTTGGAAAAATAAATTATATAAATGGACATTTATTTTGGATCAAAATAAAAAAGCAAATTAGTCCCTTATTGTGGACCGGAGTAAGTATAATTTAAGGAGGTAAAGCAAATAATCATGTTGAAAAATATCAGGAAAATTTCGGCTTTTATGTTAGTGAGATCGGTTTTAAAACCAAGTGGACCCCATGGTTCAACCACTTGGAAATTCATCCCAGGATTTTGGCTCTTATCCGATCTTAGGAAAAAAAATATGTACTAAGTTATATATACAATAGTATTTTTTTAAATATTTAATGTATTTGATCAACCATTCAACTTCTTTTTATGTTTATTGCGTAAACATGATTATGTAAATATATTTCGCATTGCAAAACAATGTTATGTAATTATCTTTTGCGTTGTAACTCAAACTCATTTAAAGAATTTTTTGTTATAAACCATTGAACTCCCTTATAAAGAGGAAAAGTTCTAGTAATAACGTGGAAATGGAGTTCAAAAGTAATTTTAGGTCACGTCTCCAAATTTCAGATATGACATTTTTGAGAATCTGCCACTAAGTGCTTTGTCTTGTCAGTGTATTATTATTTGGAGTCTAGAACCTTTTTGTTGTCTTTTTTTGGCAAAAGATACGTAAATAAGTGTAATAAAGAAGAAGTTACATTTATATATCTAACGTCAAAACACATCACGCTATACTTTAACGGTAACTTTTACCGTTAAGGTATAACGTGATGTATTTTTGCTTTATATGTACTGACATTTACTGACACAGATATAGCGTGCTGTATTTTCACGCTATATATAGCGTGAAAATACAACACGCTATACCCCTAATTAAATAATTCCCTTCGTCTTCTTACCCGACCAGAAACGATCCCTCCCCCATTTTTTTACTTTGAAGTAATTTCTGGTCCCTCCTCCTAGCGTCTTCTTTAAAAAAAATGTGGGCCCCACCCGTCATAGAAAATGTTAAGAACGTGGGTCCCACATCGTAGTAGAGCATCGTATTGTTGTGGTTTCACTCTTTTGGACTCAAATTTTCACACAAAACACTACATCTAGGTATTTCGATTTATTTTATGTTGAAACTTATATAATAATGCATATTTATTAGTTGATTGAATGTGTTTCCATGCCGTTTTGTGTTTTATTTGCGAAACTAGTATGTCATATTTATCCGGACTTAAATATTAGTGTTCTAAAAAATGTAAAATTGAGAAATAATTTTTTCTATTAATATAAGGATTTAGATATTACTGTTTCCATGCCGGTTTGTGTTTTATTTTTGCGAAACTAGTATGTTATATGTATTTTTGTGAATGTTATGTGATTAAAATGTATTTGTTGTTTATATTTAGTTTAGATTATTTATTAGCGTAGTAAATTGTAGAACCTGTTAGCATAGTAAATTGTAGAGTATTTTAGCGTAGAATCCCTATTTTAAGTATTGCTTATATTGGTAGATGAAAATATATGCTTTGTACAATTAAATAATTAAAAATTAAGAATTTAAATTTTTAAAACAAACACACACAAAATAATCAAAATATTGAATTTGACACACATAATTATTAATGATAGTTTGGTGCTACTGGGCCTCAAATATCGAGCATGGAACCCAATAGGTATATATACTTTGTACAATTAAATAATTAAACATACAATTAATGTTATTTAATTTATAGTTGACGACATGGACGCACCGCCTATACATCCTGGCCCTTACTCTCGTGAGATATTAGTTCTACAGGGCGATCATAGGTCCGCCCATATATGGGACGGGGAGTTACTGTCCCAGACTCTCCGCGCTAGGAGAGTTGACGACCTGTGGGATTTTTTGAGGCCCAGAGATCTCCACGAACGTGTAGTCCAGCGCCTACAGGATACGGGGTTTTATAGGATTATTGAGATCGGACTGATGCAGCTCGACTGTGCTTTGATCACGGCGTTGATTAAGCGGTAGCGACCGGAGACACACACCTTTCACCTGCCCATTGGCGAGGCCACCATTACGCTGCAGAACATGGAGGTTTTATATGGCCTGCCCGTTGATGGCATGCCCGTTTCACTGCCTATTGCTATGAGATCTATGTCACACAATGATTATTGAGACATGCTGCAGGAGCTCACGGGTTTCAGGCCACAGGACGAGACATTTTCGTCGGGTGCTAGTCGGTTGTCTTTGACCCCTATTAGACAGTATCTGGAGGTACTCCACCCCATTATCACCGACGATACATAGGAGGTACATATTACCCGGTATACGAGGTTGTTGTTGCTTCTTCTATTTGGAGGGGTTTTGTTCCCGAACACTTTGGGGAACCTAGTCAGCCTGAGATTTCTTCATCATATTCAGCTGCTAGATGAATTACCCTATTATAGTTGGGGTGCTGCTGTTCTCGCCTACATGTACAGGAGTATGTGCCGGGCGAGCATGGGCACTCAGAGAGATGTTTGTGGTTGTCTGCCGCTTCTACATGTGACAACATATTCGAATAATCTGTTCATCAGTTCCAACTCTACCTAGTTAGAATTTATCTTAAACCTAACGTCAATTTTCTATGTTAGGTTTGGGCCTGGGAGCGGTTCTTGCAGTTTCAGCCACCTCTACCACAATTACCTCCAAATATAGCACTTTCGGAACTCCCTCTAGCCAAGAGGTGGGTTCTCCGCCGTACACTCGAGAGTATGATGCTCATCATAATCTCCCCCTCTGCAGGGATGTGTTGGATCTGCTGGAGGGCATACAGGTAAATATGTGCCTAAACTTACCTGGTATAGATTAACTTAGTGTTGGGCATACTCACGTTTTGTGTTCTTATTTGATTAGTTCATCTAGACGACATACAATGATGATTTGATTGATGGCTTGCCAGCTTATTGCTGGGCTGACCGATTGATTTGAAGCACTTCTGCCCCGCTCATATGCCTCGATATTATGGAGCATCATGCCTCGAAGCGGGTACTTCGCCAGTTTGGCCGCCCGCAGTATATATCGAGGGGGCCTATGGGACCCCAGACATTATCAGAGGGATGATCGTTGCAGGGCGGACGACACATTTATGGCATGGTTAGCGGGGCAGATCCATATTTGGGACCAGTGGGATCGGATGATTCCGCCCCCACCTACACAGATCCAGGAGGTGGCTAATGAGGGGTATCTGTCCTGGTACCGCCAGGTTACCCGACTTTTTATCTGGAACCCTATTCATCAGGCTGGCGGTCGGTACGTTCCATATGCCGGGCGACACGAGGCCCTGGTATATTTTCTGTTATTATTAATTATATAACTGTAACTTAGTGCAATGTATGTAGTTTATATTTTATACGTTGTGCAGGCTATTGGACCATACATAGTCTATCAGATGGGACTGCAGATGCAGGATTATGTAGGCTATCCTGCGACCGCTTTGCACTTACAACCGTCGATTTGTAGAGTTGGCTTCCCGGACACTGCAGCAAGCCCGGGAGGATCAGCATTTGACACACATGCCTGATTATGTGGAGCTAGAGCAGTACGAGCGAGGCCTTGGTGTGGCACGAGGTGGTGGTGCCCGACGAGGTGGTGGTTTCCGACGAGGCGGGGGTGCCGGACGACGTGGCGGTGGGCGGAGAGGAGGTGGTCCCCAGCAAGGGGGCGTTGAGGCCCTTGCTAATGATGTTGCTGCCGATCTGCCGGTAGCCTACATGAGACGAACATGCCGTCATATAACCTTGGGATGGATCTCACTCTAGGGACTTCGCAGGTGACCCCGTCAAGTCAATTATTGATCACGGGCACGGACCTTTCTAGAGTCGATAGGGATACATACTTTCCAGGCCCGTCTACTGTTGCTGAGGACCGGCAGACCCGAGATTTACATAGTGGGCGCCGATTGAGTTATGGTTCATCATCACAGGAGCAGGTATGATTTTCTTAGTATTGAATTATAATTTGTCTTTATTTTTCATAACATTATTAATTTCCTTTTTAAGGTTGAACGCGATGCTGATATGACTGCGATAGATGATTACATTCAGGAGCCCGACGATATCGTGGTAAGACAATTTAAATTGTTGTGACTTATTTTATACTTTGCTATCCCGCGCTTTCTATTCTTATGTAGGTTTCTACTAGACTGGCAACCCCTT